AAAAACTGAATGCTGCTTCTCCATGTTTGGTTCTGGTTCCACTGATGCAGAGCAGACCCAGAACCAGAAGACCTGAGAGGTCTGGAAGGTTGACACAACAGCAACAGAGGATCTTTAATGTATTGTGGTGCCAAGCTGTTCAGTGATTTTTAGCGTACAGGCTGATTTTTATGACTGTTTCCTTTTAGCGGTGCCATCCACAAATCCCTTCGTTGCCGCGGCGATAGCCCCCGACATGGCCTCCAACCCCTTCCAGGCCAACGGCAGAGGTCCAGCTGCAGGTGAGAACGTTTAGAAAACATGAAAACCTTTTGTTATTCCATGTTTCTGATTAGATACTAGTGGAATTTTAATGTAACTCGGTTACATTGAAAAGTAGTATATGCTGAGTATCTAATGTATCTGTGTGTGTGTTGTGGGTATGTGTGTACCGTCGCTGTGCACACATGATGTGTGTGTTTCGTAGCCTCGTTTGGTACTGGCTCTATGAGCATGCCTGCCGGCTTTGGGAATGCGTCTTCCTACTGCCTCCCGACCAGTTTCAGCGGAAACTTCCAGCAGCAATTCCCCGGCCAGGCCCCCATTCCTTACCCCCAGCCTGGGGCCTACCAGCCTCAGTCTAATGGTTAGTGCCCTGTCCCCTCTGACCTCATACAGTATTGTACCTGTACAGGACCTGCCTTGTATCTTGTATCTATTTGATCATAAATGAAAGTCTGGATGGACAGTGATTTTTTTGTTTTTGGCAGCTGCTGCACAGTTACTTAAAGTTTGCATTTAGGGTGCAAAGCTTTTTGGGTTATTGTTTTTGATCAGAAATATAATAATAATAATAATAAAAAAAGATACCAACACTTGTCAATAAGGCTCTGTTTACACCTAAATGCAACAGAATAAACCAAGGTTTTTACTCTTACTTTGTTTTCCCTATTTCTTTCAGAGTTTTGAATCATTGAGTATTATGGTTTAAATCATTTTAATATTTATGTGTTTCTGTGAAGTGAAGCCATTTTCCTTCCTCTCTGTCCCCCTTAGGGCCCGCCTTCCCAGTCTACGGTCAGAACAAGCCCTCCATTACGCCCTTTGGGCAGCCCATGGCTGTTCCTGGCATGTCCAATAACCCATTTATGGTGAGCATGCTCTGTCCCGCGTTTTTCACAGTTCTCTTCATAACTACCCAATCCTACCAGGGGTCTTTTTTCTGCTGTAGTGCTTGTTTTTTTTGGGGGGGGCGGTTCTGTTGATATTGTGGATTCTATGGTGGCCTTGGAGTGCAAACCACATCAACAAATTGCTAAACACAACTAAAGATTGAAAAACACAATGATATTAGCTAAGCATTATTCCAACTTAAGAAAACACATTAACTAAACAGAGACGTCGCTGATTGGACGACACCACTTTTCTTGTTGTGTTTTTCAATTGTGTTTAGTTATTCGCTGAAGCGGTTTGCGCTTCAGGGCCAACGCAGGAACATAATCTTGGATAATTCTTTTTATTTCAGGCCGGAGCGCCAGCGGGGCCATTCCCCTCTGGAGGTTCTTCCACCAATCCTTTCCTGTAGCACAGCTCCTGGCTTCGGCCACCAGAGGGCAGCATGCAGCACATACTGAACGCACCTGTTCCGTCACGAAACTAGTGACAGTACATTTCTTAAGAAGAGACTTATCTATTTTTTTCTCCATGAAAGAAGTTTACAACACTATGAAGGAGTACAAAGGAATATATTTAGGACTAAGGGGACAGCTATGGCAGAAATGTACTGTCTGGACTATATTCCATTATTGTATGCTTTTTATTTTTAATATTTGTTTCCGTTCTAACTGTAAGCTTTGTGCATATCACTATTTGTAATCACAAACAAGTACATGTAATGTATAATAAGGACTGAACTAACAAGGATGTGTAACCATAAACCTTGTGTTTAAAAACGACAAAAAAAAAAAAAAAAAAAGAAAAGGGGAAGAAAATCACTTCAAACTAACAGATAAGTAACAGTTTACATTTAAACAGGGTCTCATCCAAATCTGCATTTTTGGTAGAGTGATAATATTGTTGTTTTTTTTCTAAGTTCAAAAAAGGGAATTATTTTCTTGTTAATTTAAGAACTCTTTTTTCGCACCAGGTTTCCTGTATTAAGCCACGTTTCCGTTACTGCGATTCTTGAAATATAAAAGTAGGCTTTAGTCTGATAGATAGGACTTTTAAAAATGAAAATAAGACGTAAGCTTCAGAGCAGGTTCATGTAATATGGCATTGATCTGAATAGGCCAACATTTAAAGATTGTCGTTTAGGCATGGACCAGCGTGAGACTGTCACCATATGAAATTAAGTATAAAAAAAACAACAAAAAAAGCTGAGTTTTGCTGTATTTACACAAATTAATCAGATAATTAAGTCATATTTCAGCTGAAATGTAATTCCTACAATTGCTACATATTGGTTACTACAGAAATAGGAATATTTATGATGGTCCTACAGAGACTAAAGCAGAAATATATAGTAAATACCTGTTAAATTTAGTCATTAAGTGCTTATTAGCTGACCTGCTGAGGTAGTGGATGCTAACCGGAGGAGATTCATAGCTTGCCAACTGTAGGTTTAAAACAGCGTTACCCTCAGGATGGGTGGTTCTGTTTGTCTTCACACAAATATTTCCAAACAACTAAGCTAGTCTTTCTGTTCAGCAATCAGTTGGGGCAGGGCGTCTTACTGTAGGCCCCAGGCCCATGCCTGTTGGCAGTGCACAGCAACTATACTATGTAGATTATGAGGCAGACAGGAGTCTGTCGTGTTTTACTTACAGGTAAAGGAACAGACACGGCTCTTAGAGCATAAACAGAGGAGAACCAAGTAAAGGTTAAGTGTTAGTCGGATTTCTTTGTGTTATTTTACCTAAGCTGATAAGTCCTTGTTAAAGTTGGTAAGTATACTCTTGTAACTTGGGGAGCATAATTCAGATATTCTCTATATTCTATGAATAAAAACAGCAGAAAGAGACTGTTATTGAAGGCCTCAGGCTTGTGATCCGGTTTGGGCTACCTCAGAACACATGAAGTCAGGATCCCACGGTTTTGTTGGGGAGTGGTGGCTTGTACTTTAAAAGCAGAACATCTTCAGCATTTGACTGACTAAACATCTGGGAGATCAGGGTTGTGTTCACTGTCCTCTTTTTGAATCTGTCCTCTTTGCCTTCGTTTTTAAAGCATCCGATCAGACGAGGAAAATGTGGGGAGAAGGTTTGTTTAGATGAGGCGAAGTCTTCAGGGACTGCATACATCACTGGACCAGCCCCCTGACTGTGGACAATTTGGGTTTCAGTTATGTTTAAAAAAAAAGTTTCTTGTTTTTACAAGATTAGGTAGTAAATGTGTACATTTATAAATATATGTATAAATAAATTAAAAGATTTTTAACTACACTGCCTAACTTGTCTTTATTGCAGATGACATACTTAACGCTTGAGCAGCAACATACTGCAAGAATTGATGATGAAACAGATTAACATTTAATAAAGCTGATTTCAGGTTCATTTCACTTCCTGTATACTTGTATATATAAAAATGTAAGCTGGTATAATGATAAAAGTCCTTGAATCTCAACAGGACATTCGACTGACGTTGTCATAGCAACGCCTAAACACTTGACATGGCGTCGCTTCTAACAGATCCATTGTTTGAGACTTATGGACGGGGTCCTCCGCCAATTAAAGATTATTATCACTTTTTTGTCACCAAGTCAGAAGTAAGTAACTGCAGTGTACTGCACAACAGAAGTTTTGCTTTCTTTTTTAAGTTTAAGCGATTGAAATGGCTAGCATAAAGTGAACATTAGCTAAACCTGCTGCAAGACAAACTTCTTCCAACTTTTCCATTGGTTTTCTGCTCGTAAACAAAAAAAGCAGGTGCGTCTCAATGAATTAGAAGTCTTCAAAAAGTGAATTGCATACAGGAATTTAATATAAGAAAAACCTATTCATGTGAAGTTTCAAAAGGTACATATAAATTGGAAGCATACGTTTCTGTTAATTTCAGTATTAACGACTTGAAAAAAATAAAACAAACTTCAGCTTCTATGAAAATTGAAATAGTTAGGTTAGGCTATACAGATGACAAAAAGGACTTTAGTCCCAGAATTATGACTTTATATTCTTAATCAGAATTCTGAATTTTTTTTCAGTGACCTTAATCCTTTTCTGTAGGTTTTTATGTGGAAATATGGACAGACCTTACTTTTTATGCATGACTTTAGTATTTATGTTCCATCATATGTCACAAATGCTTGGATGAAGAAAAAGACTTTCATTGATATTTAATAAAAATAACTAGTCTGTGTTTTTTCCCTCCCTCATTTGAACTAGAGCTCTTTTACTCTATTTCCAGATAATATGGAGATGGTGGAAGATCTCTCCCAGAATGGTGTACAGACACACCAAGCCTGGAGAGGTGAAGGAGTCTCTCAGTGACTTCTTGGAGGACACTGATCTACAGAGTAAGGCAACTATATATCGAGATTTGTTAAAACAGAGTCAGAGGAAATAAATAAATGTTTTGTCATAACTGAAAAACAAAAGAGAAAAAGCAAAACTAGTCATCAGAGTTTCCCAGTGGAACAGTGGTTAGTAGAGTTGTCTCTGGGTATTATGCAGTTTCTAAAGTTTGTGCTTCCTCTGCAGATTGCATCAATTTAGAAAACTTGATCACATTTATTTTTTATAATATTTTATTATCAAATTTATTCTTTACATTTGCTTTTTTTATTTTTTGATATGGCAACATTTTTGTATCAGGAGAAAAAAACAATATCAAACATTTAGTAAAAGTAGCCAGAAAAATTATTATCACCAGTACTGTGCAGTATCTAACACGAAAATACTAAAAGACCTTCTCCACTCCGCCTGTCACACACTGCATGGTGAATTGGAGCTCCTGCCATCTGGTAAGAGATTAAGAGCCAAAAGCAAGAACAACTACATGTAAACACTCCTTTATTACTGAGGACATCATTATTCAGCTTAATTTAAAATGTGATTAGCTAAAAATGATCATTTGACATTTACTTTCTATAAGACTTGCTGTTGTAGAATCATCATGTCTCTGATTGTGTTTCATCTGGTTGCAATAGACTTTTTTTTTTAAAGTGGTGCTAATCGTAACAAGCACTAAATACTATCCAGCACAGTCTGAAAAAAACCCCCCAACAACTATGGCCTCCTTCTTCAGGAGAAGTCAGAGTGGTCTTTGGAGATCATGTCTTGGAGTTCACCATGGCTTTGTGCGAAGGCCGTTACAATTATCTTGATCGGCTGTCTGACTCACTCCTCCTACGGATAATAAACTTTCTGGAGCTTGAGGATGTGGATCAGCTTGGCCAGACCTCACGCAAGTTTCAGCAGGTGAGTTGCAGAAAAACACTAAGAAACACAAATGAAGTAATTCTCTATTACCGACGCACATTTTGTATCATTTCAATTTTTAGACACTTGTACCAAATATTTAACTTTTTTAAAAAATTGTTTCCTTGAAATCCAATAATAAATAGTCAATGAAGACATTATTCTTAAACTGCCTTTTGTATTCACTCAGGTTCCTTGCCTGATGTTAAAATGATGATCTGAAAGATTAAATGTTACAAACCATTAACAGAAACAAAATCTCTAAGGTAGAATATCCTTCTTTTACGACACTGTATCTTACTGTGAAGTGTTTTTCCCCTTCAGCTGTGCGGGTCAGAGGAGTTCTGGGAGCAGGCAATGCGTCGCCATTGCTGCAGCATTTCTGACGAAGTGGCGTCTCTGGCGAAGGAAATAGGCTGGCGCACCGTTTTCTTCACCAACAAGTTACATCTGCAGAAGCTGCTCAGCCGCAGGAGGAAGATGTCTAAGGAGCAACATGAAGGCCCCGGCACCGATGAGGCGACACAGTCAGGGGAATCTTCCACTGAAAGCTTTAAGGAGGAAATTGACTTTGGTGCTGGAGCTGGTCCAGACTTTGACAATATAGATCCACACGTTGACAGCACTGAGCCACACGTTGACAGCACTGAGCCACATGTTGACAGCACTGAGCCACACGTTGACAGCGCTGAGTCACACGTTGACAGCACTGAGCCACACGTTGACAGCACTGAGCCACACATTGACAACATCTCCAACCATAATGCCACCTCTGGTTCAAACGTTGGAGTATGAGTCCATCAAACTCCTTTGCTGACTGTTTCAGGGACAACATCAGGTTGTCTGAGGTTGAGACGTTGCCTCAAAACAGGAAGTTTTGACAGGAAGTCTTGAGGCAAAACTTCCTGCTCCCTCCCTAACTGAACAGGAGCACAAAGCCAATCTGACTGACTTATGCCTCATTAAAAATTGCTAAAATTTCAGTTCAATTCTTATAGTTGTATTACTAACATGTGTGATTAAATATCTGGTTAGTTGCTCATTTGAATCATCTTTTTCTTGATTTGTCTATGTTACTTGTTTTATTATACCTAAGTCACATAAGAGACTTACTTTAGAGTAACAGGAATAATTTTAATGTTAATGTACATTGAAATTTACAATTTATAATTCAGAAGAGCTAATTAAGAATATAAAATATAGTGTGACCTGTCATAGCAATTTTAGCTATATTTAGCTATACACTGTTAGCTTATAGATGGGGTATGTTACTGGATGTCAATATGCTAGTGCTAGCCCTCGTGGTCATAATAGCATTTACTTTTTTGGGGGCAATAGACACCAACACCGGTAGCCTACAAGGTACTTGTTAAGCTTAAGGTTCTGTATGGATATTAGCTAGTCATCTTTAGCTAACATTACCTGCATCCAACAGCTTTACTCAACAGTCGGTTAGTTTGGAGGGAAAAACTGTGAAAAGTTCTTTGCGTTTTGCTGGTTTGCTGCCGATTCTAACACAAACCTACGTAGCTCCGCACAGCAGCAGCAGGTCTCCTTCACAGGTGTAAACCCAGCGCGAGCGTCGTAGCGCTCATGTTGCGTTTAAAGGCGGCTCGGAAAAACAGGTTACAACATGTTAAGAATGGATTAAACAGTTTTAACTGCTGATAAAAGTGACAGAGGACACAAATATGGGAAGTGTGGAAGCCTCTACTGTATCAAATTGACATAGTTATAACAGAGAGTTGGCCATTCTAAGGTAAAAACCCAGCGCATACAGTGTTCATGTTTTGTTTTTTTTTCATCCAGATGGCTTCCCGCGCCCCCCCTGCAATGACACGGCGCCCCCCCTAGGGGGCGCGCCCCACAGTTTGGGAACCTCTGCTATAGGGCAACATGCTAGCCACCATGCAAATAACACTTTAGCTAAAATTAGCATTTTAGTTAATTTTGATATAATTGCTAAACTTAACATATTGAATGGACTAGTCTATGTTAGTCAACATAATAGTAGTAGCCCACATAATATTGACATTATTTTACCTGACCTTAGTATTTTGCAAATGTTATCTTTTACACTGCTGTTTGTATACCAGAGGGAATAGGTTACTCAGTATTTTAGCTAATTTTGGACATTTTCCTGGAACACACTAAACATGTACACAAACCATCCTTTTTTAAGGTTTGACTCTCAGGTTTGAGGCCTGCAGAACCTTACTCCCCACCTGAACTTGTGATTCGGGTCTTACAGATACACACTCTTTGGAAGGCCCCTTTAAGCTTTCTTCAGAAATGTTCTCATATGAAACATGTCATAGTTAATAATTGCTTCTTGAGAATCAGATCTAAAATTGGTTTAAAACTGTCATCAACTATTCCTTCCCTGTCAAACAATCTTCTCCACAGTTGTCTTCAAAAGAAAATCATTCTGTAAGGATGCCAACATCACTGGCCTTGTTTGTATTTAATACTTACATCAGCTCCCTCCCTATCTTAACAGGAGACCCAAAAAGTAGGAGTGTTTATAGGATTGATGGTGTCTGGGACTCAGAAGAAGCCCCCTAGGGGGCACCAAACATGTAAGGGTTATTCATATTTTTGATCAGGTTCCAGTTTTCCTCTACACTGAAAAAGTTAGTCTTACGATACTGAAAGAAAAGCCGGAGACAAAGGGGAAGAAACATTGGCAGATTATCAGTCTGTCCTCCATGTTATTCTTGAGACCTAAGAAGCTTCTTTGCTCCCCATTTTGCAAACAGGCTGTTCTCCAACAGATTGTGAAGCACTGTGCATGTAGATACTGAGCAAGCTCTGCATCGGTGGCAACAGGACTCTGTTGCACAGCGCTGTATAGCTAGTTTTCCTGGAGTTGTTGGAGACTCTTGGGGATCCTGTAGCCCTTTTTTGTAAACTGTGATGACCTGGGACAACAACACTCCCAGTGTTGCAAGTGGTGGTGCAAGACATATTTAAAAAGATGACAAGTCAGAAAATAAACAGAAGGTGAAAAGAAATTGAATAGGATACTGGCTGCTAAAAATCCTTTAACAGACTCCAGAAAATAAAATCTTGAACTATCCCTTTAATTTGTCTCCCGGCTCCGCTGGGAATGTGTGCCGCCTCTCCATGTAGAGCTGTCTGGTGGGCTTAAGAAGATTGAGTGAAACAGTGTGAAGACTACATAACATCTTCTGAGGCACTAGCACAGAGTGGTTCCCTCATCTTAATCCTTGCTAACAACCCTCCACCAACCACCAAGCTTGGTTAATTACCCCAAGGTTAAAGCAGCAGGCGACTCATAGATCAAGCATAAAAACCAACTGAAATAAAACATCAGAGGAACCTTTTTGGAAACAATCCTGTGAACTTATCTGGCACAGTTCTTTATTTTCAACCACGCTCCTGTGATCCATTGCAACCAAGTGACTTGTGAAGGCACCGAGGCCCAGTGGGCTCTCTGGGAGAGTAACTCTGAGCAGCAGAAGTCGTGTGTGAGGTAAAAGTGAAACTTATGGAGGATCTGTGAGCTTTCAGCTTACAGCTCTCTCCCTCCATGACCTGGAAACAGATAAAACTCATGGCCTCTTTTCATCCACTCAGGAGGCTTAAGGGCTTCACTGACACTATGATCCATTTACAAGTCCACACTGTCATGGCTGACTCAATGACTTGGCCGCTGGCTCTCTTAGATCAAAATATTCTTAAGCTTTCTTTTAGCCGGTGAGAAATTACAAAGAAATAACAAAAAAATAAAAAATAAAATCAAATAAATAAGGGCAAATGTTGGTTTGTTTTCTTCAGTAAAGTGGTTTCATGAGGTCCTTAAGTATAACAGATCCCTCTGACTGTTTTTAGAAGCTGGGTGATCTGTGAGGAGTCTTCCTAGGCCACTTGAGGGGGTCAAAAGTTCTTACATTGGTGGTTGTGGACAGCAAGCAAAGCCTTTGGTCTTCTGCAGGATACTGACAGCTTGAGACTCTTTGAGAAAGGATTAGCTAATATTATCTCAGGTTTATCAACCTGAATTGGCCCACACATTATAATAGACGAAGTGTTGGGATTGCCTGCAATTAAAATTGTTTCAGAAATTTTAAAATGAGGTTCTATGAAAAGGTTATAAGCAGCTGAGATGCAGTAGATAACAATCTTGGTGATTTATCAAATGGTCTAGAAGGTGGAAGCTAACGGCTAATCCCAGAGCGGCCAAGGCTAAACAAAACACAGTAAAGTATTTTCCTTGAGTCCATTTCAAACTATAATTTAGCATTTTTTTGTATTGCCTTTGTAGTAATGGATTCTTCTTCCCTGTGTGGCTTTTCAGTCCATGTTCCTTTCTGAAATGATCAACTGATCTCCTTCCTGAAGAATATCACACCTGGACACTGCCATGGGCTTTATCCTGGTACATAACTGTTCTAACAGGTGAATGTGGCACCTTCACTCATCTTGAAATTGTACCTGCAGCTGTTGAACCAAAATACATAGAAAAGCTGCTATTAGACTACTTTTATTGAATTTCATGTGCAATAAAAACTGCTCCGTTCTACTTAATCTTTCTCCAAAATGATTAGGGCCCAAATAGCCACATGCGGCTCCAGAACTGCAGTTTGCAGACCGTCAGTGCAGGTAAACACCTAGTTTTAGTCACATCTGTAACCTCTGCTTGTTTCACAACCAGGATGTTCTTGGAGATTATCTCACTCAACATATGGTCTTCATTATGACAATAAAAACACAATATTATTAGAAATATGTTGCAGATTTTTTTTTTCCTTTCTTGGTGATCAAGACATGGCCATTGATGAATTAGAGTAAATATTGCCAATGAGAGTGTTGGGAGAGATAAAGAAGCAAGCAGATTACAAGTGAGCTCACTGTGGTCCATGTTCCGGTGAGACAGGCAGGAGGAATCTAACGATGCCCGAGATCTTTCCCCTTTCCATGTGTGCACATGTAAATGATATCTTACATGAGATTCTACACGATATTCAATTCATTTCACAGTTGTCGTGTTTTAAGCAAATGCACAGATAGACATACTAGATTTATTTAAATGTATTCATGACATTTGTCAAAAAATGTTTCTGGTTATTTCTGTCTTTTGATCTTATTGTGCACCTCACTACTATCTGCATGGTCAACAGAATCCAAAGGACCACTGCTAGACTTTGAAAAATCAGGGACAGATATAGAGGTCTTCAAAGCCTCTTACGGCAGAGCCCGCTTACGATTCCCTTTCCGTGTACAGCATCCTTGAATAGACCACACAAAGATCCTTAAGCCAAAATCCCTCCTTGGTATTTAATTCTAAATGAGTAATTACTGGGTGTGTCAGTGTGTCTTAGGTTTGCAGGTGTGCTGTGTGCAGGAGCTCATTTGCACGCTGGCTTTGGGAGAGAAGTGCACTCTCACATAGACGCACAAACTCTAAGTGGGCATCCTTGAGAAGCCACTGAAGAACCCAGTCACGTAGGGGGGACAGAACACGCAAAACCGCCAAGATGTGTGACATGGGGGGCTTGGATAACCTGGTGGCCAACACGGCCTACCTGAAAGCACAAGGAGGGGATGACAAGGAGATGAAAAAGCGCCGCCGGAGCTTGTCTCTGCCCAAGCCGGAGCAGTGTGCTGCCATCAGAGCAGCCATCGACAAGGACTTTACATTCATTTGTGAAAGGCAGCCTATAGGGAAAAAGCTTTTCCGTGATTTTTTGTCTAGTACCCCTGAGTTCAAACTTGCTGCAGAGTTCCTGGATGAACTGTATGACTGGGACCTCGCTGAAGGTGCAACCAAAGAGAAGGCTCGGCAAGAAATTATGAAAAAGTACTGCAAAGCTGACTCCAAATCCTTCCTGACATTTCTTACCGGGGAGCCTGCGGAAAAATGCAAGTCTGTGACAGATGCCAACTTTGAGGAGGTGATGAAAACGCAGGTCCAGGACGGTGTAAGAGAATTTCTGAAAGGCAAGCCTTTTACAGATTACCAGGACAGCCCATTCTTTGACAAATTCCTTCAATGGAAGGAGTACGAAAAGCAGCCCATCAGTG